AAACTAGGCAAGAGACATCTAAACTTCTTGTAGGGTACCAAAATATGCAACCTGTGTGGATCAATGAATGCGCTTTCGCTGACGACATCGTTATATTTGCAAGGAGCGAAACAGAACTTAAAAAGAATCTCAATACATGGAACAACAAATTATCTACCAAAAACCTTAAGTTAAATTAGAACAAAACAAAAATAATGATTAGCGGAAAGAGCGAAGCAGTAGTTAACATAGAAATAAATGATCAAATAATAGAGCAAGTAAATTCTTTCAAATACTTGGGAGTCCAAATAGAAAGTCAGGGACACCAAAACCAAGTAATAACTGCAAGAGTTCAAAGCGCCGCTAATCTATACCATAGCATAAAGAACACCTTTCTAGGCACAAAAAAAGGTATCATTGAAGACCAAGATCAGCGTGTTTAATTCAGTATTCGTTCCAATATTAACATTCGGTAGTGAGAGTTGGGTCCTCACCAAGAGACAAGAAAGCTTAATACAAGCCGTAGAAATGAAATACCTCCGAAAAGTGCTAGGGGTTACGAGGATGAATAAACTACACAATTCCGATATCAGAGAGCAGCTGAAAGTCCAGCCAGTACTAACAACTATCGAAAACTGCCAGTTGAGATGGTACGGACATTTTAAAAGATTAAACAAAGAGAGACCAGTAAGAAAAGTATGGGAGGCAAAAAGGCAGGAAAAGAGGAAAAAGGGTAGACCTGCAACTACGTGGGATCAGAATATTGCAAAATTACTCAAAACTAGAGGGATCGGCTGCGCCGAAGCATCAAGCATGGCACTGGACAAGAAGAACTGGCAAAATTTTGTTGGAAAGAAGTAGCTACTAGAAGCCTTACTACCCTTCTACCTTCGGGTAGAAGGCCTTCGATTATATATATAGATTATATATATATATATATATATATATATATATATATATATATATATATATATATATATATATATATATATATATATATATATATATATATATATATATATATATATATATATATATATATATATATATATATATATATATATATATATATATATATATATATATATATATATATATATATATATATATATATATATATATATATATATATATATATATATACATACACATATATATACATATACATATTTTTTTTACATATCCGGTTTGCTTCCTTCAGCTCCGACACTTGAAGGAAACTTGCCGGTGTCCTCTTTCAGTGTTCAACTCCTGACGTCCGTCTGGTAAGCCGTTCACTGAATCCGCGTATCGTGTGCCCTGAGTATTTTGAGAGAGCCCAAAATCACAGCCTTCTGCATGCTTGCAGCAAGTCGTTCCGCTACATTATAACACGCTGGTATCAGTTTCAATTGCTGGAGCAGGGTGTCTTTAACTCCTCCTAAACTTCCTATCACCAGTACCACCAACCTTACAGAATGATCAGCGTACATTCTGCGCATTTGCTCTAGGAGTTCCTGGTACTTCTCCCTCTTTTCCTCTTCTTTACTGATTATGTTCTTCTCTGATGGCGCCGAGAATTCTATGACATAAATTATTTTCTTCGCTATATCCTGGAGAACTATGTCTGGTCTGTTCGCCCGTATTTGTCCGAAGGCCTGGAATGGATAGTTCCAGTAAATTTTGGTTGTTTCGTTTTCCACCAAGGACTCAATTTCTTTCGGTGTTTGTGGTAGTACTGGCGTTTCATCAAATCCATGCATATGACGAAGGTGATAGTATATCACCCTCAATGCGGCGTTATGGCGCTGGGTATAAGCCGAAGCCGCATAAGTAGGGCAGGCTGATAGTATGTGCCACAGGGTCTCCGGAGCTTGATGGCATGCTCTACATCTTATATCTTCGATTTGTTGGCCCATAATACGGCTACAGTACACCAAAGAGCCATAGACACCGTCCTGGCATGCCAGTATAAATCCCTCTGTCTCAGATCTTAAGCCGCTCGACCTCAGGAAAGCAAATGATAGTCTCTCAGAAAGCTGCTGTTGTGTCATTATGTTATAGAAGGCTCCGTGCACAGGTTATATATATATATATATATATATATATATATATATATATATATATATATATATATATATATATATATATATATATATATATATATATATATATATATATATATTATCACTTATGATTATAATATTACCAACACCAACCCAATTCCCGCATAACTATATTATTATTTTTTTTAAAGATTATTTTCACTTATAATATCACAAGAGCTTAAATTATTTTCGGAAATTTTTTTGAGGGCACGAATATTTTGAAAATTATCCCGAGTCGAAGACGAGGGATAATTTTCCTAAAATATTCGTGCCCGAAAAAAAATTTCCAGGAATAATTTAAGCTTGCGTGGTATTCGGTAAGAAAATTTCACACCTAAATTTGAAAAAAAAATATTAATCCAACATGACATTTTAAAATAATTTCAATTTGTTAAGTTGGCCAAGGTATTGATGTTTTTGACATATTATGTGTTTTGTCATTTTTGTTTATTATATCTAACATATTTCCTTAAATAAAAAATATTACCAACCTTAGTTACATCAAATGCTAAAACTCAAATGGGTAATATTTCAATATATAGACATTGTAGTTCATTCACATTATGATTGTAGATCTTATGTTTACCTTTTCAACTGTCAAAAAATTTCCACTAAAGTTTCGTGGCGCCTCGAAAAAATTTCCGGAAATTTTTTCAGTTGCCATGGTAACTAGTCAACATTCAAGCATGTTATTGGTTGAAAAGTAGAGGTGTGAAATTTTCTAGCTAATTTTTTTGTTAAATCGTATTTTTTTAATACATTTGTCTTATAGATTTTTGTGTTATAAAATACTTCCTATATACAGGGTGTCCCAGAAATAAGTGCAAGTATTTTAAGGGGTGGTATATCTCGATAAAAGAAACATATTTTCTCTTTATCGTTTTTTAAATAAGTCCAAAATTCCAAAATAACGGAGTTATTTTACTTTGAAAATTTCCTAAAAAATGATTTTTTGCTAAAATTTTGAGAACCACTGGATCTTTTCTGGATTTTCTTTCTTGTAAATTTCATCTACCAGCTATGTTGCCATATTATCAAGAAATTATGTTTTTTAAATAAAAACTAAAAAAAAATCCAAATTTTTTTTCAAAAAATTCTGAATTTTCAATTTTTTTTTCGCGAAAAAAACCTCATAGGCGTGTTTCTGAAGTTGAACTATGAATCAAGAGACGCACTCGAGGCGGTATGGGAGAAGTTTAATAATGTCGACCGCTTTTCTGTGGGAAAAGCTTGTAATTCAGTTTTAAAAAGGTGCATTTTATGTACTCAAAACAATGGCGGATTTTGAATATTTGGTGCAAATCAAACTTAAAGTGTATGTAGTGATATTCATTTTTTATGTTTTAAGTCGTTTGATGTAAATTATTGTAAAGGTTTAATAAAATATTCTGTTATTTTATAAGTTATAAATCATAATAGAGCCAACTAAATGAAATAGCCAACTAAATGAAATTAGTCAAAAAAAGAATTGGCTATAATTCAGTAATTTTTCATTTAAAAAAAACATATGTTTGTGTTATATGTAAAAAATGACAGGCTTTAGAAAAACACGGAGAACTCACTCTCATTAGGGATGTGATTATCTACAACTTCTGTCACAAAACTGCAATTTTTTCCCAATTAGGCTGACTCTCCAGCTCCAGTAGTTTCTGAGATACCCATAGAGAACATCGTAGAAACTCACCCTGTATAGTCTCCCGTATAAAGCGTTTACACGCCTTGGAAGTAGGAAAGTACAGCTTGCTACACTGGAGCCGTTAGAGTATACAAGAATAAAACTGATATTTTTTTTGAGTATACAAGAACTGAACCTCTAGGTTTTTGGGTACCTGAACTGTTAATGTTAAAATTTATGTACTGTTAATAATAAATAACATAATATAAGCTCATAAAAGCTCCACAAATTCGCCAATTCTCAAATCAAATTGAAATGTGTCAAATAAAACTGTCAAAATTTGTAGTTCTTGCTTCCGCTTCCTTTGAATAAGAAGACTAAGGAAGGAGCATATCAAAAATCTTAGGTCCACCGCGATGGAACGCAAATATGGCCGACTTAAATTCCGGTTTATCAGTGTCGTTCTAATTTAATTTAAAAAATGGAAAACTATGATGTAGGGTAGACGTGGGGTAGATTCAATAATTTGTTTTTTTATTTTACGTTGTGAATAAATGTTGGTAGTTATTACAATTGTTATAAAAACATATTATTATAATAAAAATAGATAATTTTTAATAATTATTTATTAACACAAATACCCGATACGCTACTGAAGGAGGTAAGTCAAACTGACGTATCTAAATTCTTTGGCATCTAATCTTTGACAAGTAGTAAATAAAAGCAAGAATGCAAGAAAAAATATACAATTAGTTGATTTAAGTGAATTTCATAAATGATCGGCTTACTACACGTATGTATATTATATAGTCACTTACTAGCGAAAACTTGTTCCATTATTTCACTCGATTTTTGCCGAGATCTACCGCACGCTACACAACCAACTATTTTAGAGTCTTTTTCAATAAATCGCGATAGTGTCACTGTTAATTTAAGTTCTACCACAATTTCCATCTAGACTTACTATCTTTATACAACTATCAGTAGTAGAATGAATAATAAATAACATAAAATAAGCTCCGTAAAGACTGACAAATCCACAAAATTTCAGATCAAATTCAAATGTGTCAAATGAATCGTCAAACAAAACTGTCAAGGATCCCCACCCTAGAGTCGTTTTTCCGCCCACCATGCATGAATACATGGATAGCATTATGCTCCTTCCTTTGTCTTCTTATTCAAAGTTCCGCTTCTAATACATGAACGCTATAAAAATAGTATTATATGCCTTTCTTAGTACTTCCATTCAAAGTGCTATATAATATTTAGTTCAAAGCTAATTTATGTTCTATGACTAAGTAGCAGGGCTAATGGCTTACCAAAATCTTTGATGTATTTCTCAAGTTTGTCGTTCTCTTCTTGCGACGTTATGCTGGCTAAGTGCATGCCGTGAAACCGGCAATACTGCGTCGCTTTGAAATAATTCGCCTGCAAAAAATTAAGAGAAAAAATTAGAAAACAAACTTTGCATATTTTTTATAGCATCGGGCAACCAGTTTATTTCAATATTTATTAATCTGTGATTAATAGTAGAAGCAAACTGACCGATTATAGAAAGCTGGTTCGGAGTCGAAATACAAGATGCAAAAGTGCGCAATATTGTAGTCTGCTCTTACTTGACAAGGTTTAATAATCTGTAAGCTTTAGCTGTGTACGTTACAGAATAAATTAATATGTGGCTGGTAACATGTATTGCTATTATGGGTAATAAGTAATGATAATGAACTATACAGGGTTGTTCACCATATACGACACGGAGTATTGTAGCTAAAAGATTAATTTTTTACAAATTGTAAGTTTTGGGTTCGTCGAAGGACTATTAGAGCTACAATTTCAAAATATTTTTACAATATACAGAGTGTCCCAAATAAATAAAAAATATCAAAGTTGTATTTTTTTAAATGGAACACCCTGTATATTATTGAATTTTTAGTTTCTACGATTAAAATAAAGGTAAATTTGATTAAGGTTTATTACACTTAAACCTTATCGTTTTTGAAATATTTTCAATTTTGTGAAATTGCAGTATAAATTTTAAGGCTTCATTTCTCCGAGGGTATCAAAGTTTTTAATACTAAATATTTACTGAAGTTTATTTATTGACCAGTTATTGTGTTGCAATAATAAAAATTATACTACCTTATACAGAGTGTCTAAAAATTTATTTTAAATAATTACTAGGTTTAAACGGCAATTAACTTGTTTAATTTAAATAGAATACCCTGTATATTTTATGAGAATCGGATGCACAATTTAATTGTCTATCAAATTGTATTATATCACCTTTTACCTATCCCTTCAAGTTTTCGTAGAAAATGCATTTTCTTATAATTTAGACCTCATTTATCAATATACCCGTGGAATATTGACATTTTAGATTGTTTTTAAAACAACAAATGTACAAAATGTACAGGCTAGTAATATTATCGTTTTTAGTAAAACGATGATATTACTAGCCTATTTGTATGCAAAAAGAAAACTATTTAAATCTTTATAAAAGAGTCTACCATTAATTAAATATACCACCGGTATTTCCGCCTAAATACTAATTAATTACATACTTAATTGTGTTCGTTAATAAATTATTCTAAATAAATGTTGATTTGAATCAGCAATCAATATAATAATAAGTTATGAAAATGAACGTCTCTGTTGTTATAAATAAGCATTTGTAAAAATGAAATATCATTTTTAAGGTGTTTTTTTACCACACTGTCTAATACACATAAATAATTCAGTTTTTTAGTATTTGGAGCAATTATTATTAATCAACGCAAACAGTCAATTAATGTAGTTTGAATACTGGAATCATATTAATTGGACCTCTTTAACAAATATTTAAATAGTTTTTTTTATTTTTTAATGAAATAAACGAACTATATTGACAATATTAGCATCTGTGCTCTTTAAAAATTTGGTACGTCTTTAAAAATAATCTAAAATGTCAGTATTCCATGGGTATATTGATAAATGAGTTCTAAATTACAAGAAAATGCATTTTCTACGGAAGATTGAAGAGATAGGTAAAAAATGGTATAATACAATTTGATAGACAATTAAATTGTGCATCTGATTCTCTTAAAACATACAGGGTGTTCTATTTAAATTAAACAAGTTATTGCGGTTTAAACCTAATAATTATTTAAAATAAATATTTAGACACTCTGTATAAGGTAGTAAAATTTTTATTACAGCAACACAATAACTGATCAATAAATAAACTTCAGTAAATATTTAGTATTAAAAACTTTGATACCCTCGGAGAAATGAAGCCTTAAAATTTATACTGCAATTTCACAAAATTGAAAATATTTCAAAAACGGTAAGGTTTAAGTGTAATAAACCTTAATCAAACTTACCTTTATTTTAATCGTAGAAACTAAAAATGTAATAATATACAGGGTGTTCCATTTAAAAAAATACAACTTTGATATTTTTTATTTATGACACTGTAACTTGTAAAAATATTTTTAAATTGTAGCTCTAATAGTCCTTCAACGAACCCAAAACCACCAATTTGTAAAAATCTAATCGTTTAGCTACAATCTTCCGTGTCGTATGTGGTAAACAACCCTGTATACAGAATGAGTCCTAAATAAATGCAAATATTAGGGTTGGTAGATCTCGATAAAAGAAACATATTTTCTCTTTACCGTTTCTCAAATAAGTCCAAAATAACCGAGTTATCCAAGTCAATTAAAAATATATTTTTTTAAATTCACCGTATAGGCCAGTCGGTACGTCGTTTTAAATAGGCCTAGGTGGAAATAAGTAGGGGCTAACTGAATTATTTTTTATTTTCTTGGTTTTGATGTGCTGAATGATATATTCAATTTGCACGGTCTGTCGATCCCGGATTTGGCCGCCATTTTGAGAAAGTCGATATAAAAACTATATTTTTATGTTTTTTTTAGAATATCTCAGTCCGGGTGCATTGTAGAAAAAAAATGCAGGTAACCAAAAATAAAGCAAATTAAATTCTCTACAAAAAAGATTCTATTAATTATTCTGGTAAACTTATCAGTTCTAAAGTTATAGCAATAATTGCTATAACGTTAACTATAGTCTGTCTGTCTGTCTGTGTCCGTCTGTAACACGATAACTCAAAAACCGCTAAACCGATTTTAATCAAATTTGGCACAAAAATACTGTGTCACCATTAGTTTTTGGTGGGTTTTTTTTTTAATAAAAAATGTTGTCATATTTGATGGGTGGTTTCACCCCCATACAACTGGAATTTCGAAAAATCCCTTCTTATCGAACCTCTACACCCTAGAATCAATCTGTATGCCAAAATTGAGCTTCTTACTTTGAGTGGTTTGAGGAGGATCGTGATTAATCAGTGAGTCAGTCCCTTAAGGATTTTATATATTAATAGATTAGTATAGATTGATAGTGTGTGTACGGTGTGGGTCAAATTCGACGGTTTTAAATGGAAACACCCTTTTCTATAGGAGATAGACAAAAACTAATATCGGTGGCTGGAGCTCAATTTTTGTCAAAAACATGAAGGGGAAAACCGCATATCGATATCTGTTACCGTATCGGAGTTACGGTTCAAAAATATGCATTTTTAACAAATCGCTGTAACTTTTTTGCTATGTAAAATTTTGTATTTTTATGGAAACATTTCCAAAGCACCTTTTTGCGTAGAATTTAATGGTGTAAGTATAATTTTTTTTAAATTAATAATTTAAGAATTATCAACAGAAAATTTTATTTTTTATATGGGACACCCTGTATATTTTTAATTTATTGAAAAGAATTTAAAATTACCTTTCCAAAAATATAACACACTTGATATTTTGCTCGATTCCTATTCGAGATATAGAGTATATAAAAATTCGCCCGCTTTAAATAAGTAGGCTTTGAACGGCACCGACTGTAATGCAAAAAAATTCTAGCTGTGAACATCAATTAAAACGAAAATAATATTTTCTATGAGAGTTGCAGAATTTTATAACAATTTAAAATATATTTAACCAACATCAACACATTTAAACTATATCTAATAACAATAAAAATAAATAGGAAACCAAGACATGAGATTTTGCTAAAGGTGTTCGGCATATCGACCGTCTTCTGTTATGGACAAACAGGGCAGTTTTTGAACATTTCTCGCGGAATTCATTAACTGAGTGGGGGTGAAAGATCATCTCATAACTGCTAAGTATTTCTAGTTCTTGTCTAGATTATACGGAAGAATAAGGAACCTTTATTCTTCCGCAAATATATCCATAGGATTTGATCCATGGGCAGTAAGTCAGGCGGCCTCGAGAGCCAACGGCTGGGATCTTGGTTAGCTATTCAATTATTCTTGAAATTGGCTGCAAACATTTTCTAATAACTTCAGCTTTCAGAGGCGGTGCGACGTCTTGCTGGAAAAATATGTTTTCGAGTTCCATTAAGGGCATATCATCAATAAGGTGTCCAAAGCCTACTAGTTAAACGAAAAATTCCGTATTTCGAAGGGGATTATAACAAAATATCAAGTGTGCTATATTTTTGGAAAGGTAATTTTAAATTCTTTTCGGTTAATTAAAAATATAGAGGGTGTCCTAAATAAAAAATCACTTTCTCTGTTGATAACTCTTAAATTATTAATTTGAAAAAAATTATACTTAAACCATTAAATTCTACGTAAAAAGGTGCTTTGGAAATGTTTACATAGAAATACAAAATTTTCCATAACAAAAAAATTACAGCGATTTGTTAAAAATGCACATTTTTGAAAAACACCCCGTAACTCCGAAATGGTAACAGATATTGATGTGCGGTTTTCACCATCATGTATTTGATGAAAATTGAGCTCCAGACACCAATATTAGTTTTCGTCTATCTCTTATAGAAAAGGATGTTTCCATTTAAAAGCGTCGAATTTGACCCACCCTGTACAATATATAAATTCAATCTCGTAATATATCTTACTTAAAAATTCTAAAAAATCTCAGTTTTATTCTTGTTTTCTCCTTCTTTTGGCTTATTTATTTTATAAGATCACAATAACTCAATATACTCAATACGTTAACCGTGATAAACTAGACCTGATTTTTCTTACCGCAATACAAAATAAAGTGAGACAAAGTGAAACTGCCGTAACGTTGATTATGGTTAACTTTGCGTCACTGATGAAGTGCCTTAGATCTGCTGTGCCCATAGAAGATAATTTCTCTATAGCAGGTTCAGTACAGGTTCATGTATATAGTTTAGTTCATTTCCTAGTCATGTAACCGACATTTTTTACAGTTCATTAAACAGGTGATCTATTATACCTTACAAATTTGTAATTTGTAAACGTAAGTATTCTACAGTATGATCGAAAAAAATGGCGTCCAATTGGTTGGAAAATGACGATCGATGACATTTCCCATATAAATTTACATATAAAATGACAGCGATCTTCATTTCACAGCCATCGCTGACGCCTT